AAAAAAGCGAGGATTAAAGAGATTTTAGGTTGATCGAATTTTGTCGAGAATCCAGCACCAGGAATTTCTCGCCAGTTTACAGAAATTTGCATTTAAAGCAAACTTTCCCGGCGATCTGGAAGTCATTCGAGAAGTTGAAAGCAAAAAAAAGGGAATTAAAGGGTTTTTAGGTTGCTCAAGTTTGAGAATCGACGAGCACCAAGAAATCAACACCAGCGATCCGAAATTTGCATTTAAAGCAAACTTTCCCGGCGATCTGGAGGTCATTCGAGAAGTTGAAAGCAAAAAAAAGCGAGAATTTGAAGAGATTTTGCTTGCTTGGTTGCTCAAGTTGCTCAGGTTAATCGAGTTTTGTCGAGACGCGACGAGCACCAGGAAATCAGCACCAGCGATCAGAGATTTACATTTAAAGGAAAATTCCCATCGATCTGGAAGTCATTCGAGGCATTTAGAATGAAAAATTTCAATTTCGATAAATTTCGAAAAAATCAATTTGTTGCTGTGAAAAGTGAAAATTTTGAAAAATTCTGAAAAATTCGAGTTTTCTTAAAAATCCAAATTTTTCCCCGATTTCAACAAAAACCAAAATTTGTAGTGGACTCCAAAAAAAAAACGCGTACGAATTGAGCAAAAACAATTTTGTCATGTGAAAAAAAAGAAAGCCGTTTGAGCCCCGTCAATTGAGAAGTGGAAAATGGAGCTGCACACGAGCCGCTTTTTTTTTTTTTTGAAATTGAAACTGAAACTGAACTTTTCCCTTTTTGAGGTCAATTTTCGCTCATTTAGCTCATTTAGCTTCTTTTCGGAGGCAAAAAAACTCGACAACTTTGCGGAAAAAAGAGAAAAGAACAATAAATGTCATTGTGGCGAAGCAAAAAAAAACAGGTGAAAGAGGAGAATTTTCGAAAAATTGCGATACTCAGAGAATTTCGATACTTTTCCAATATTTCCAGAATTTTTAAAAGGTTTTTCACATGATCTGGAACGCAGGAAAGACCAAGAATCGAAAAAATTCGTCAAATTTTCATTTTCAGAGAATTGCACTCATGGTGCAGTGGGTTTCGCGGGGTTCGCCGAGCCAAGGGTCGCGGGTTCGATCCCGCTTGCGGCCAAAGTTTTGTTTGTTTTGCTGAAATGTAGAAATGACTAAAGAAAATCGGTTTTTTTAATAATTGATCAGGTATTACAAGATGAAATCGGCGTACGCGTACGTGAAATATTTCACAAAGTGCCCAGTCTTCATAAATTTTACGATTTACGATCAATGACATCAGAAAGATGACTTGGAAAAGTGATTGTCACTCTTTTACCCACTCGGATCACTCACACAAACCCAGCTACAAAGCCAGCTTCAAAGCCGGTTTCAAAGCCAGCTACAAAGCGTCATTTCCGAGACTCGACGGGACAAATGAGCGACGCAAAATAGAACGAAGCAAAATAGAATGAGCGTAAATTGTTATACACTTTCAGGTGCCTCGAAAATCTTTAATTCCTTCAGAATTCGCTTTTTGAGAAGAGACGGTAAAGAAGGGAACTTTTGGAAATCATCTGATTTGGAAATCATCAACTTTTCATTCATCATCAACATCAACTTTCTTGGTGGGCAAGATAGAGTATTTGTATTTGGATGATTGAAGAGCTGAAGGCGAGAAACTTCTCGACTTCCATTGCCAGATCAGAGTCTTTTTTAGAACCTTTTTACACATTTCAGACTACATTATTGATATAATAAAGAATCAAATAATCCGGAGAATCTCATAGAAAAGAGATGAACAGAGTTTGAAGATCGATTGGGCATAGTGACGACCAAAACGCGGAAGCTGGCTTAACCACCTGCCGCTTCTTTTCATCGAGTTCTGCGGCACCCCAGACTTCTTCGTTTTCCTCTTCTTCTAAACATAATTCGAAATTGCCACCACATTGATCAAATTTTAATTTATCGATTGTGAAGAGAGAGGAAGAGTTTGAAGATCCCGGGTTGACCGTTTTGGGCATCACGCTCAAAACGGAGGAGCTAACCGGCGATCCTTTTCCTTAACGAATTAAGGCAGCATAAGCCAAAGTCCCTTATGCTAGCCGGGCATAAGGGGCTTTGGCCTAAAACGTAACTGACCGCCGATCCTTTCCGATAACAAAGTCGAAAAGCGAAGCCCCTTATGCTAGCCACCTATGCCAGATGGAGAGCGATTAGAGGCGTGCACAAAGAACGCACAAAGAACAGAGAGATTTTCTTCTTTTGCTTTCTTTATGGCTTGAAAAGAAGATATTTCGCTGGAAATTTACAGCCAGGGGTTTTCGGAGACGGTGAGTCGATTGGAGACTTCATTTTGTTGCGTCCACCAAGGTGAAACACGGGTTTAAGTGGTCAAAACCTTTAAACAACATCGAAACAACGTTTTTAATTATGCAATACGTGCAAATCCTCTGCAAAAAGAGGCGAAAGTGATGTGAGAAGAAGAAGACGGGCAAATTTCACATCTTAAAATGAATGAGACACGAAAAGACAAGGCAAAGACAAGGAAAAATGCGATTGACAGCTTTGGAAACGCTCTCCAAAAAGGGAAAACTTCTCTTCCTTATTAAAAAAAATGAAAGAATGAAATAGAAAAGCGATTTTATTTTAAAAAAAAGACGGAAATCGTTAAATTGAATAAATGGAATAAATGGAAAGTTAAAAAAATGCTCAAAAATCGCTTTAAAGCATAGAATTTTGACAAATTTGCGCACAAAAATCTTTATTTTACATTTTTTTATTTCTTTGACTTGAATGAATATTTTTCTATCGACAATAAACTCTGTGACATCCATAATTAACAAAAAACTCAACAAAAACTTCAATTCGAACAAGAGTTTCCCCTAAAAACGAGTCAACTCGTCTCCACAGAAAACCAGATTTCAAAATCACTCTTTTAAATGTTCTTGATTGCTTAAAACTCGATATTGTGCTCCAGGATTGGTCCAGGATTTGTTATCTCCAGGATTGCTTACACAGGAGCCACCGAGTTTCTGATTTGCTTGCTTGCCAGCGTGCGATTTACGACCGGCTGATGGAGAAGCGCTAGAAGAGGTGATTTGAAAGATTGGCTAAATATACCGTAGCCCAAAGCCTTCTAGGCGCAAGCGACGCTCGAAATGTGCCATGTGGAGTGCATGGAAGCCACTGAGTTTCTGATTTGCTTGCCAGGGCGAGCGTACGATTTACGACCGGAGTAACTGAACGAAATGCCAGAAAGGGTGGATGATTAAAATGATCTATTTGATTATCTATTTAATGGAATCTATAGCGTGACTTCCAGATAGCTGAAAAATGAAGAAAATTTCCATTTAGCTTCACTCAGGGGCCGCTAAGAGGCGAGGACACGGAATTCGTCAATTGTTGGCTGTACAATTGTTGCCTGTTGAGAGAATGAGGCTGAGATGTTGCGGTGGGGCTAAAAAATAGAATTGGAGGTCACTCTTTCCGAAAACGTTTCGAGAAACTCTCCAGTGCTGCGCTTTTCAACGATTTCCTTGAGCACAATGGAATGATCGCCCACAAAGTCCGAATTTTGGGGAAGAAGATTCCGTTTTGTTTTGAGAATTGCCCAATGCTTTCCAGAATCTAGTCTTGAATTGAAAAACAGCAAAATTTCAGAAAAAAAAAATTTTTGACCGCACCCGGGATCGAACCCTCGACCCTTGGCGTGACGAGATTATCGAGAAACCCACTGCGCCATATGTGCAACTGTACAAATATGAAATTTTTTTTGTCTTTTTGGCTGTCCTGCATTCCAGATTGAGCAAAAAACTTGATAAAAGAATTTTTTTTGAAATAAAATTACCATTTTTTAAAGCCAATCTTTCAAATTCGTTTTTGAAATTCCTTTTTTGGCATTTATTTTTCAATCAAATTTCCTAGTGCATTCCAGGATTTCGATTTTTTTTTTCCAAAGTGTAAATTCAGCGAGCTGGTGTTCAGAGATTTGCTCGATCAGTGCAAGGCATTCCTGCGACGAGAATGAGACGACTGACAATGAGACGCTCAAATGACGATGCTCAAATGGAAATCGGCCTGGGCCTGAAATGGAAAAGGTTTGAGAGGTTTGAGAGGAATGTTTAGAGAAACAGAAAATCGATTTTCTTGTAGAATAGATTTTTCTTGTTTCTTTCTTTTTCTCAGCCAGCTTTTCTCAGCTAGAATCAAGTTAGTTTGAGGCTAAACCGTTTAAGAATGGTCCCCCCCCAATTCCATTGGCGCCAATTCCATTGGTAGCGGCTCCGCCACAGGCGCCTGACGCCGCGGCTCGCTCCGCTTGCTATTTCAGAAAGCAATATAGGGACCCGTTCTATAAACGTTCCGAAGGTTACCCCATACCTTTCTATGGGATATCCCGACGATATCCCATACCTACCTATGGCGTTTGAGAGTTCTTGTTTGAGGCTCGTGACCCGGAAGGAGTACACACGAAATTGTTGATGATCATCAAGGAAATCGTTCTTTTCCAATCACCAAACGATCTCCTGGAAGGCATCAGAGATTTTAATGAGCTTTGACAAGGGTTTTGTTGAGAAATAAATTTAGGATTTTTTGATTTAAAGGAATTGCGGTCTAAAATGCAGAAATTGGGGTCTAAAATGCAGAAATTGAGGTCTAAAATGCAGAAATTGGTCTAAAATGCAGAAATTGTGGCCTAAAATCCAGAAATTGAGGTCTAAAATACAGAAATTGCTCTAAAATACAGAAATTGAGGTCTAAAATGTAGAAATTGAGGTCTAAAATACAGAAATTGCAGTCTAAATGCAGAAATTGTGGTCTAAAATACAGAAATTTTGGCGTAACCATGACAACGAGCGAAACGCAAACAGCTAAACGCGAAAGCGAAAGCGAAACGAAAATCTCTTCAAAAATCTCTTCAAAACTCAGCCATCATTCGTCTAATTCTAAAGATTTTTCTTTTAAAATGAATGATTTAAAAGAAATGCTCGGCCCGTGGAATGGAATGCTTTTCAAAGAAGAATCAATGTCACCGATCTTTTGCAAGCCAAAACTCATCCCATTAAAGGTGAGAGAAGATTTAAAACAAAAAAAAAAATAAAACCAAAATCGTCTTCTGTTTTCATAAATGCCAAAATTGAAGTTTTTAAGCTATTTTCCAATTCAATTTTCTTTGTGTTAAGCTATCAAATTTAAGCCTAACTTTAAGCTCAAATATCTCCGTATTGGGTTGTCCAATTTCAATGTTCTTTATACCATTAGATTTGCCAGGTTTTTCTCTATCGATTGGTAGAAAAACGATTGAAATTGGACAGCTGAGCATCAAGATATTGAAGCTCAAAGTTAGAGTGGCGATCTGTTAGAGTTAGAGTGTCGTCTGTCCCCTGGCCACCTTTTATACGCCCCGCCCCTTTTCCAATTGGCGACAGCTCAATTTTCTTTGTGTCAAGCTGTCGAATTTGACGAATTTGACGAATTTCAATCGTTTTTATACCGTTGAACAGCGTATAAAAGGTCCGTCGCCCCGCCCCCTTTTTTGACCTCAACTTTGAACTCAAATATCTTTGTGTTGGGCTGTTCAATTGGAACAGTTTTTGTACCAATTGATAGAGAAAGACTTGACGAATCTAATGATATAAAGAACATTGAAATTGGACAACCCAATACGGAGATATTTGACCTCAAAATTGGATGGTCGATGGGAAAAGGGGAGCACTGGCAAGACAAGACAAAGGCTCGATTAAAAGCCTTACTGTAGCCTTCTTTTACGGTAAGCCTTTATCTTTAACCTAGGTCTTGACCTGGTTTCTAAAAACTCCCAAAAATCTAATGAACATTGAAATTGGACAGCTTAACACAAAGATATTTGAGTTTAAAGTTAGATTTGCTGATTGGAAAAGGAGAGGGGGCAATTCGATAAACGAAAAATCTCAATTTTTTCATCATTTCTAGACGATTACTATGGAAAAACTCGAAAAAATGCAGCAAGACGCAATTGAGAAATTGAAAGCGCTTGAAGAGGCGGAAGAAGCCGAGCAAAAGGCCAGTAAACAGGTGACTTTAAAAAGATATTCATTCAGCTATTCATTCAGCTATTCAGTTAATGAACAAGATTCAAAGAGACTTTCATTTAAATGCATTTCAAAAGCATTTAAAAGCATTCAAAAAGCATTTAAAACCATTTAAAACCATTTAAAAGCATTCAAAACCATTTAAAATCATTCAAAAAGCATTTAAAATCATTTAAAATCATTTAAAAGCATTCAAAACCATTTAAAAGCATTTAAAATCATTCAAAAAGCATTTAAAAGCATTCAAAAGCATTCAAAAACCATTTAAAGCCATTTAAAACCATTTAAAATCATTTAAAATCATTCAAAAACCATTTAAAATCATTCAAAAAGCATTTAAAAGCATTCAAAAGCATTCAAAAACCATTTAAAGCCATTTAAAACCATTTAAAACATTTAAAATCATCAAAAACCATTCATTCAAAAGCATTTAAAAGCATTCAAAAGCATTCAAAAACCATTTAAAGCCATTTAAAACCATTTAAAATCATTTAAAACCATTCAAAAACCATTTAAAAGCATTCAAAAGCATTCAAAAACCATTTAAAAGCATTTAAAGCCATTTAAAAGCATTTAAAAGCATTCAAAACCATTTAAAACCATTTAAAATCATTTAAAATCATTCAAAAACCATTTAAAAGCATTCAAAAGCATTCAAAACCCTTTAAAAACCCTTTAAAAACCCTTTAAAAACTCAATTTTTCAGTCAAACGCACCCGAAGATGAAAGCAAAAGCGAAAACGAAACAAACATTTGGAAAGCTGATGAATGAAAATCTTCTTATTTTTCAATAAACTCTATGACATCCAGAATATAGAAAGAAATCAAAAAAATGGCAATTTGAAACAATAATCTCATCAAAATAAGCACCAACTCAATTCCAACACCAACAAAAAAGCCAACTTTTTTCGCTTTTACTCTTTTTAGCATTCTATTGGGTTGGAGAATTGAAAACTTTGAAAAATTTTCACAAAATCACAATCTTATGAAAGTTTTTTGGTACAAATTACTTGATTTTATGAGAATTTTGCGAGAAATTTTAAAAATTTACCTCCCCATTCGCCTCCACTCCAATGGTGTCCCCGTCCACCGCCACCCCGGTCATCACCGCCTTCCCAACCACCTCAAAACCTTTATATACCTTCTCTAAAGCTTTATCTTATAGTCCTCCTCCACTACGTCCTCCTCCTCAACGCCTCGCGCTCATCTACGCCTCGCGCTCATCTACGCCTCGCGCTCATCTACGCCTCGCTCATCTACGCCTCCGACTTACCCGCATCGCTCAACCGACAGTGAAGCCATTCACAAATCGGTGCTACCTCAGGAATCACCACTGAAATAATGAATAAAAAAAAAAGCTGAGTCTGTTGGAAAATAGAGGTTTTAACTGCCTTTTAGCCTAGCTTTGGCTCTAGTTTAAATTCAGCTGAATTCTAGATTCTATTCGGTTGGTGAAGTGAAAACTGCGAGACTTTGAACTAAAATTTATTCAACATAAAACGATGAATTCATTCCAAATAATTTCCATTATTATTAACGACTTCTGCCCATTTTACAGGCAATTTGCGAACGCCTCTTTCGTGGTTTGGATTGGTTTTGATTTGCTTTTGAATCGAAAAACTTTCAAAGCCAATTTTTGACTGCTTCTTCCGAAACGAAGTGTTCTCCCGCAAGCTCATTACTCATCATCCGAAATAGTAATCAAATAGATAGTAATCAAAAGGGACGAGGTTCGGACTGGACCTTCCAAAACAGGCTTAGGCTCAGGCTCAGGCGCCAAAAGTTCCAAAACAAGGCTATTTATTTTAGAGCGAGTGAGTTTTGCAACATGAGGACGCGCGCTGTCGTGGATGAGAACGATCTTTGACTTGGAGGGCCTATTCCTCTTTAGGGATTCATTCACCTTTCCCAACTTTCCACTGTATTTGATTGCATTAACGGTCGTCTTGCTATCCAGCAACTCCCAGTACAAGTGGGTGAAACAAGTGTGAGACTCAAAAATGGAGGACTTGAGATGTCCGTGTCCCCGGTTGAGCACTTTCTTCAAAAGAAACCCATTTTGGTGTGAATGGAAAAGTTGTAGAGAATCAAAAATTAGGCTTATAGCGAAATTTCCAAAAAGATACACTTAATAGTTTCGCTTAAAATGCAAATTTTGTGAAAATTCGTTACATCAATCGGAATTTGGCATTTCTTGAAAACTAGTTTTTGAATCGTTCTGAAAATTTGGATATAAGCTTGATTTTTGATTCTCTACAACTTTTCCATTGACACCAAGATCGGTTTCTTTTGAAGACTGGGATATCTGGAGCTCAAAGTGGGATACTGGGACATCTTGGGACAAACTGGGACTGGGACATCTGGAGCTCAAACTGGGACACTGGGACATCTTGGGACAAACGGGGACACTGGGACATCTCCAGTCCTCCATTTTTGCGTCTCCAGTAGTTTTTGTATCCAATAGATTGAGATTAGCCTTGATTTGAGGAGAAGTCAATGTCCAATTTGAGGATTCGGAGGTTTGAAAGTTTGAAGGGGGGGGGGGGGGGGGAAGCGCGCCCGCGCGGGGGGGGCGGGGGGCGGCGGCAGAAAGGACGAGGGGGCGGGGGGGGAGATTAGTTTGAAAAAGGGAGAGGGAAGGGGGTTATGTAAAAGCCCTGTGCCAGACGACGAGCGATTACGAGGCCGCACAAAGAATGTCCAACTTGAGGATTCGGAGGCGGCCAGATTCGTTTCGCCAAAGGAAGAGGGAAGGGGGTTATGTAAAAGCCCTGCGCCAGACGACGAGCGATTACGTGACCGCACAAAGAACACACAGCAGAATTTCCTTTTTCACAAATTAAGCGAAACTACTAAGTGTATCTTTTTGAAAATTTGGATATAAGCTTGATTTTTGATTCTCTACAACTTTTCCATTGACACCAAGATCGGTTTCTTTTGAAGAAAGTGCTCAAACTGTCACATATGACAATAGCCGACAGTTTTGAATTCAATTTCAATTCACCAACCCAATATATGCTTAAAAGTCTTCAGTGTACTCCAGGATTACTCATAAAAAAAAAGAAATCCAATATTTCGTTCAAAAAGGTCTCTTTTTTTTGAGCAAAGAAAGAAATGAGGCTGCCGAAATGATGGAGAGCCTCATTCACTCTTCTTATTGGACTCTTCTGGGTCTTCTGGCTCTTCTGGGTCTTCTAAGGACTAAGCTCTTTTCTTTTTGTCCCTAGCTTACCCACTAGAGAATCTAGAAAGATTTGCTCACTTCAAAAAGGAAAAAGCGATTATTAAACATCAAATTTTTTTAAAATCAATTTTTTCCAAATTTTTTTGCATTTTTCAAACGCTGTGACTTCCAGTTTGAGCGATTTTAAAATTAGTTTTTTAAAATTTTCTTTTTAATCCATATTTTCAAGCATGGTAAACAATACGCTGGCCTATCGTCAAATCTACACACTAACAGGTACCATTAATTGCTCCAATTTCCTGTGTGCGTTCCACCTCTAGCAAATCCTTTAGTTGTTCGCGATTTCCTCTCGTCAGCTCTACTTTTAGCCGCTCTACTCGGCGATTTTGTTTCCGCCGAGCACAGCAAAGCGTCAAAAGCCACTCCGTTCTTTTTAGAGGAGACGCATGAGGTTCAGGATTCGAATAAACCAAGAAATAGATTGATTATAGATTGGATTAAAGAATAAAGATGGGATTCCATGTTTGAGTTTGGCTTTTCGAGCTGAAATTGTTAACTACAATACTGATTTGAATCACTCAATGCCGGTAAGTTTTCTTTTAAAGAAAGAACTTGTTTAAACACAAAATTCCTTTACTGTGACATCCAGATCAATAAGAAATGTAAAGATTTTGACAAAATATTGTATTTAGAGTTGAGAAAACCCGTCGATCTTGTTTCTGATCTAGAACAAATCTTTTCCAGGTCCAGGAACCGGTCCAAGACTGGTCTCTGGTCTAGATCTGGTCTAGATCTGGTCTAGATCTAGTTCTCTTTGATTCCAGTTCGATTTCACGGCTGCTGACTTGAAGGGGAATTGTGCAGAGGACTTGAAAAGGAATGCTTATATTAGCGCCACTATCAAGCACAACAATCTGACCAAGAGACTTCAATTCTATTTTCACACGGTCAGTCCTTAGCCTGACATCCAGGATAAACAAAAATGCAATAATTTTTACGTAAAGTACAACGAGCTACTTTTTACAGCTTTGAAGTCATTTCGATTTTCGATAAAATCTAGATTTATTCTTTTAATGGAAATTTTTTTTTCTATTTTCTCTTGTGCTTTCCAGATTGCACGATTTCACCAAAAATTTTACAGAAAAACATCTACATCAAACAGTACGAAGAGCTACGCTGGCAAATGCGTAAAGTCATCTACTCGGAGACATCTGATGGTCAGTTCAATTGAACAAATGATGAAAAACCCTTTTTTGCAACCTTTTTGCAAACGTACACACTCTGGCACACCGTTTCCATAGATCCATAGAGGTTTTTAGTGTGCCAAAGGGTTAGCGTAAACGTCGAGTACATAGTAGCGCATAGTAGTCTACTTGTTCCGTTTTATCGAAAAGGATTCGTTTTTTTACTCAATTTCTTTAGTGTGACATCCAGATCGACGAAAAAAATCAAAATTTAGGCGAAACAATTTATTTCGAGTCGAGAAACGCATCGATCGTGATGAGCGCACCGTTGAATCAGAAATTCGTTTGTCGGGTGAGTTAAATGAAATTTTCCTGACAGTGTGACATCCAGATTGATGAGAAATGTGAAAATCTAGACGAAATGACCTTTACTTTTACTGGGAAAAGTCACAAACTCTTTCCAGGACAAGCTCAACGTCACCCTGTTCAATCCGGTCTACAAAGATGTTGTCATCGTTTTCCCACCTGAAATCGTGGCTCAACCGTATGGGCTGAAGAGTAATTGTTCGTATTTTGGAAATAATAGCATTCCAGAGCTAGCCTCCAAGAGCTAGCCTTCCAGAGCTAGCCTGCAAGAGCTAGCCTGCAAGAGCTAGCCTGCAAGAGCTAGCCTCTCAGAGCTAGCCTGCAAGAGCTGGCCTTCCAGAGCTGGCCTTCCAGAGCTAGCCTAAGAAACTGGCCTAACTTCGGTAAACTTTTCTTTTCTCTAAAATTTTTATCCATTTACTGACAATGCCCATCCTGACATCCAGCTTTTTTAAATCTTAAATAAAAACCTCCAAAACCATCTAGAGTTTTTGATTTTTCGCCTCAATCTCGAACCCTAGAATCACCAAGTAATTTTTCTTGGCTAGATACCGATTTTAATGTTTCGAAATGTACTGTGACTTCCAGATTAGCCATTCCAGCTTGGCCATTCCAGCTTGGCCATTCCAGCTGTTCAACTACTTCCAGAATATTTAGGACATCAACTTTCAGTGTTCATCTGTGAGCGCACACGGAAACGAAGTCTCCGCGAGAGTTTCAACACGAAAACAACGATTTTCTCCGGCGTTGTCTTAGCTCTTTCATCAATCGCGATGATCGTTTGGCATTCAGTAAATAATTCATTCAAAAATAGATTCATTTTTGAATTTCCAGGTTCGACGCCACATGATGCCCGATCGAAAACAAGAATATTTAAATATTAATGAATAGATTTATGCGTTGAAATAAAATTTCTCCAATTTCTACCGAGTCTCCGCTCAAAAAATGATCTCCAAAAAGTCATAGCAATCAGTTTTTCCTCAATCTAACCCTGCTCCTCCCACCAAATCCTTTCCCCAACAATTTGCATAAATTCCCAGCCTAGAAGAGTGGCCCATCTTTTTTCTCCGCGCATCCTGGAACGCATGTTTCCCCATTTTCTCTCTTCTTTCCCTATTTGAGCACCATCAGCCAATTCTCTAACCGAGAATCGGAGCTGGCTTCAATTCCTTTGCTATACTCGCCCCAATCCTCCCAGAACTTTCAAAATCAGCATCCTGGATGTCATAATAGATAATGAACCTGTTCTCAGTTCATTTTCCTCTAAAATGGCCTGGTCTGACCGAGAATCGGAGCTGGCTTCAATTCCTTCGCCATACTCGCCCCAATCCCTCTGAAACTTTCAAAATCTATATTCTGGATGTCATAATCGGTAATGAACCTGTTCTCAGTTCATTTTCCTCTAAAATGGCCTGGTCTGACCGAGAATGGGAGCTGGCTTCAATTCCTTCGCCATACTCGCCCCAATCCTCCCAGAACTTTCAAAATCAGCATCCTGGATGTCATAATAGATAATGAACCTGTTCTCAGCTAATTTTTTTTCAAAAAAAACCATTTCCCATGATCTCATGATTGCGATTTTTTCAAAATTCACCTCATCTCCAAAAATTTTCACAAAATTCCAATTATCAAACTTTTAAATGCAAATTTGCTGGCTTCCGGAAATTCGGTAATCATTTATTTCGTCAGTAAAACGAAAAATTCCCGTCAAATTTCCTTTTCGAGTACGGGAAAGTTTCGAAAAATTTTTTTTTAAAAAAATTTTTAAACATAAAAAATTCAAAATTTTCCAATTTCATCACCTTCTGTGCCTTCCAGATTGGCCATTTTAATTCAAAGCTTTCATCGGATTTTCATTTTTCCTTTCAATTTTTGAGCGGTCTCGATAAAAATCTTTGCCCAGATTTTTTGCCTTTAAAAGTCATTGTTTCACTCTTTTTTTTCGATTCTTTTCGAGTCACGGAAGTCATTTCGAAAATTGAGAGCTTTTTTTTGACTTAAAGAGAAGCATTTTTCAGCAATTCTACGTTTCAGCGATTCAGCAGGGAAAGCGATTTTTTTGAAAAATTGAAAAATTCAAAATTTTTAGGGTTTTTGCAAATTTTGGCTATCATTTTTTATTGCAAAATTTTCATTTTCATTTTTTTTAACGCAAAATTAAATCTAGAATTGTTTTATATATAATTATTAACCCTTTTGAAACGTTAGGAAATCCTTTTCTTGATAAATTCAGAAACTTTGGCAAAGAAAAAGTAATGGACAATGAAGAATCATATTTGAAATAACGATCGTCACTTTCGTCACTTTGAAATAACGACTAGTACAAGGAGTACAAGTACAAATAGTACAAGTACAACTAGTACAAGTACAAGTGCAACTAGTACAACTAGTACAAGTACAACTAGTACAAGTACAACTAGTACAGGTACAACTAGTACAAGTACAACGAGTACAAGTACAACTAGTACAGGTACAACTAGTACAAGTACAACGAGTACAAGTACAACTAGTACAAGTACAACTAGTACAAGTACAACTAGTACAAGTACAACGAGTACAAGTACAAGTAGTACAAGTACAAGTAGTACAAGTACAAGTATAACTAGTACAAGTATAACTAGTACAAGTATAACTAGTACAAGTACAAGTAGTACAAGTACAAGTAGTACAAGTACAAGTATAACTAGTACAAGTACAACTAAGTCAAGTACAAGTACAAGTACAAGTACTGAGTACTGGACAATGAAATAACATATTTGAAATAACGATCGTCACTTTCGCGGCGTCTGTAACTCCCCTTCTCTTTGATTTTAAACCGTTAGTCTTCCACATTTTCTGAAAGCTCTTTTCAATGGCTACACAATGACAATATTAATATTTAGAAATACGGTACAGACAAGGGAGTTACAGACGCGCGAAAGTGACGATCTTTTTTTCGAATATCATATTTCATTGTCCAGTAGTGTACATTTACCCGTTTTGTTTTGTTTTATTGTTTTATATAATTATTAACCCTTTTGAAACGTTAGGAAATCCTTTTCTTGATAAATTCAGAAACTTAGGCAAAGATACATTTACCCATTTCTTTACCAACTCCTTCTCACCCATCCCAGGAAGATTTGATTACGTTAAAAGCTTTTATAATGAAAAGAAAGCTCGAGAAAGCTCGAGAAACCTCCAGAAACCCTTTTTAAGAAAGCTGAAACTCAAAAAGCAAAACCTAAACCAAAAAAGAAAGAATTTTCAATTCACATCTCTGAGCGAGAAACTAGACGTGCAAAGTTGGACTTGTTTTCTCTGTGAAACTCACTCCAATCCTCTCAAAGCTTTCAAAATCCGTATTCTGGATGTCATTTCACCTTTTGAACATATTTCCAATGGATTTCGTTGAAAACGATCATCAAGTCCAAGCAGGATTCGAGTTGGCCCCAGTCTCCTCCCTTAAACCCACTCCAATCCTCTCAAAACTATTCAAAATCCGTATTCTGGATGTCACTCCACTTAATGAACTCGTTGAGTTTTGATTTTGTCGAAAATTTAATTACCTACCGTAAATACTGTAATAGTACCCCAGCCCCATAATGACGGTGCGGAGTGTTGCGTAGTCTAGCTTTGAACGCGTTTTTCTCAACACTGGTTTATGCTACAATGCTCGTTTAAATATCAAAAAATAGCTGAAATTCAGGGCTATTTTTTGATATTTAAACGAGCATTGTAGCATAAACGAGTGTCGAGAAAAACGCATTCAAAGCTAGCCTACGCAACGCTCCGCACCGTCATTTTGGGGGTGGGGTACTATTACAGTATTTACGGTAGACCCTTGGGTTACTGATGGAAGCTGTCAATGGAAATGAGAGACAAAAAAAATAGTTTAAAAAAAAAGCCGAAATCTTTCCATTTTTTACCCATTCTAAGCTTTAATCATTAGGGAATGAGCAAAGAATTTATATAAACAAATCTGGGATTAGGGAATGAGCAAAAAAACAGCCCTGATCTTTCTTCTTGTTTCAAAATCACTATGCATGATGGTTATTTTTGCACAACGCTAGAACAGAGTCTTCTAATCTTCTAATCTTCTAATCCTCTAATCCAGAGTCGACCAGAGTCACTAGAGATCGACCAGAGACCAGAGAATCCAGATTCTTGCCATGACCATGACCCTGACCTTATTTTTTGATCAGTACTGGATCTAGAAGCTGGCCCTTTGTTTCAAGAATTAGTCAGAGTCAGGCGTTGGTTAAAAGCCGGCAAAATCCGTGTCTGCTGGCCAGCCAGTTCCTCTGGTTTCTGGCTTTATTAAGTATTACTTTAAAACATAGTTGATCTTCCTTTTTCCTTACTCTCCACTTAATTCTCTTCTTTTTCATATAAAGCATTTGGTTGACGGGGATGGGGAATTAAGCCTTCCTCTTCGCTTCTCTTCGCTTCTCTGCTCTCCCTCTTCTCCTTCCTCTTCCTCCTCTTCCTCCTCTTCCTCCTCTTCCTCCTCTTCCTCCTCTTCCTCCTCTCCCTCCTCTCCCTCCTCTCCCTCCTCTCCCTTCTCTCCTTCATCTCCGCTCGTTGACTCTATTTTTTTCTTCATCATTGCCTCAATTGAAATGGAATGACCAAAAAATTGAGAAAAGTGTTTCCATTTCTTTGATAGGAAAGTTGCACTTTTCATCTTCAAATTTTCTACTTTAAAGTTCAAATCTAGGTCGACTTCTGGAGCTTGGTCTTGTTCTACCACTGGCTTAAATCCTGGTTTAAATCCTGGCTTAAACCCTAGCCTAAACCGTGGCCTATTTTAACTTGGCCCTAGCCTGATTTTGACCTGATCTTGATCCCTTCAAGCTCAGACTCTGTCTCTGGCCTACCCTGGCCTACCATGGCTTTGATTTGGCCTGATCTTGATCCCCTCAGGCTCGGGCTCTGTCTCTGGCCTACCCTGGCCTACCATGGCTTTGATTTGGCTATAGCTAGGCTGGCTATAGTATAGCTAACCACTAAATCCAAATATACAGTTTTCCAAAATCCTTAGTACTTAATCCAGAACAGAATCTCATTTTCAAGTCTCTCTATAGGAAGGGGAATAACCTAGAGGTGTTAACTGGGTGTCACACTTTGAGCAAAATCCACACACCAGGTTCCTCTCGGGATCAGATTTCTTCTTCCTCTCCTTCTTCTTCTTCTTTTTCTCCTTCTTCTTCTTCCTCTCCTTCTTCTTCTTCTTCCTCTTCTTCCTCTTCTTCCTCTTCTTCCTCTTCTTCCTCTTCTTCCTCTTCTTCCTCTTCTTCCTCTTCTTCCTATTCTTCTTCTTTTCTTCTTCTTCTTATAGAAGTCTTTCTCCCCGTCAACTCCCCCTTCCAATTCCTTCCTCTTCCCTATTTCCTCACCAATTAAGCTTTATAGATCTTTTCGTCTGCTTTTCTTTTAAGCTGGAACGCATGCTTTCAGTTGTTCTTTGTGGATTTTGCTGTTTTTGTGTTTTTGTGTTTTTTGGAGGTTCACTCTTTCAGCCTCAAATTGATCTTAGGTAATTTTCTGCTCAAATTCTCTCGAATAGCGAAAATTTTAAATTTTTTACGCGACCTGGAGCCCACTTTAGAAAACTAACCATTTTTGAGGCTTGTTGCGGAAAAAAAATTTTCAAAAATTTTCACAAATTTTTACTAAATTTTTTTTTTTAGTAAAACTTGATGAAATTATCGGAAAAAATTTTCAGAATGGCAAAGTGGAAAAATCGAATTTTAGCGACAAGAGGCAAAGATTTCAGGAAAGAAAAGAGAAAGAAAAGAGAAAGAATGAAATTGAGAAAATCGAGAAAATTTGAGATGGCCAAAGCTTTGGCTTAGCACCCTCTTTTTTCACTTCGATCTCATTTCGAGCCTTTTTCTCGAAAAGAAAAA